TTAGCCAGGATGGTCTCGATCTCCTGACCTCGTGATCTGCCCATCTCGGCCTCCCAAAGTGCTGGGATTACAGGCTTGAGCCACCGCGCCCGGCCTAAAATTCTTAAAAGAAAACATAGGAGTAAATCTCCATGACTCCAGACTAAGCAAAGTCTTCTTAGATATGACATCAAAAGCAACAAAAAGAAAAATAGAGAAATTGGGCTTCATCAAAACTTGAAACTTTTGTGTTTCAAAGGATGCCATCAAGAAACTGCCAGACTGCCCACGAAATGGAAAAATGTATTTGCAGAGTAGATATCTGATAAGAGACTTGTATCTAGAAGATGTAAAGAACTCTCAAGACATTTTGATGCAGGGCAGGTGAGCTCCACAGTAGGGCTTAACCTGTGAGGGTTCCTGGCTTTGGCCAGGGAAGGATTCAAGGGTGAGCGGGAGGTATGGAAGTGACAGGGCCACAGCTCCTGCAGAGCTGGGCTGCCCCACAGGCAGAAAGCAGCAGCTCAGGGCAGTGCTGCAGTCATATTTATACCCACTTTTAACTGCACACAGATTAAGTGGCGGTTTATGTGGAGACTTCTAGGGAAGCGGCAGTACCTTGTGGGTCATCAGGTCATTGCCATGGCAAGGGGCGGGAACGCCCAGGTGTTGCCATGGTGATGGTAAACCGGCATGATGTGTCGGTGAGCGTGTCTTACGGAAGGCTGCTTCTGCCCTGGCCCTGTTTTATCTAGTCCTCAATTTGGTCCTGTGTCTGAGCCCCACTTCTGGAGTCAAGTTCCGCCTCCTATCTCCATGTCTCCAGCTAACATCTACAAATGGCCCACAGCACACACAAAGATGCTCAACATCATTAGCCTTTAGGGAAATGTAAATCAAAACCACAAGAAGGCACCACTTCACACCCACAAAGATGGCTCTATCCAAAAGACAGACAGGCCGGCTTGGTGGCTCACGCTTGTAATCCCTGCACTTTGGGAGGCTGAGGCGGGCAGATCATGAGGTCAGAAGATGGAGACCATCCTGGCCAACATGGTGAAAGCCCGTCTCTACTAAAAATACAAAAATTAGCCGGGCGTGGTGGCCAGTGCCTGTAGTCCCAACTACCTGGGAGGCTGAGGCAGGAGAATTGCCTGAGCCTGGGAGGCAGAGGTTGCAGTGAGCCAAGATCGCACCACTGCACTCCAGCCTGGACCACAAAGCAAGACCCAGTCTCCAAAAAAAAAAAAAAGGCCAGGCGCGGTGGCTCATCCCTGTAATCCCAGCACTTTGGAAGGCCGAGGCGGGTGGATCACGAGGTCAGGAGGTTGAGACCATCCTGGCTAGCACGGTGAAACCCCGTCTCTACTAAAAAAAAATACAAAAAAAAATTAACCGGGCGTGGTGGTGGGCGCCTGTTTTCCCAGCTACTGGGGAGGCTGAGGGAGAAGAATGGTGTGAACCCAGGCGGTGGAGCTTGCAGTGAGCCAAGATCGCGCCACTGCACTGTAGCCTGGACGACAGAGCAAGACTCAGTCTCAAAAAAAACGCAGACAGACATTAGCAAGTACCGAGGAGGGTGTGGAGCCATTGGAACCCTCGTTCATTGCTGGAGGTAATGTAAAAACCTTACAGGTTTTCATGCTCAGACTGAAAAGGAAGAAGTAAAATTATATTTATTTATAGACAATATGATCGTATATAGACAAAATCTTAAGGAATCCTCCAAAAAACTAGTACAACTAATAAATGAGTAAAACAAGTCAAAGGAAATGAGGTCAATATGTAAAAATCAATTGTAGTCTAGCAACCTCTGAAATGAAGTTAAGAAAATTCTACTCATGACGGCATAAAAAGAATACAACAAATTTATCAGTGTTTAGAAATAATTAACAAAATACTTATAACTCAATATCTAATAAATAAAATATGATTATGTATTAATAGATTTCACAAAGAAGTGCAAGATGTGTGCTGAAAGTAACAAGACACTGGTGATAAAGTAGGAACTCTAACTACATGGAGAGTTGCTTCTGTGTTCATGAGCTGGAGGCCTCAGTGTTGGTAAGATTTCATCTGGCCATTCTCTCCAGAGGGGTTCAACGCACCCCCTCGACATTCCAGCAGCCTTTTTTTGTTGTTGTTGCAGAAGTTGGCAAGCTGATCTTAAACTTTTATATGGAAATGTAAAAGTCCCAGCAGAGTCAAGATCATTTTGAAAAGAAAAAACAAAACTGGAGGACTCTCCAACTGGAAAACGCGCTAAAAGCGACAAGAATCCAGAGAGTGTGGCTCTGGCATAGACTGAGGATAAATCAGGATAGACAGATCAATGCAGCAGACTGGGAGTCCAGGCATAAACCCTGACTCTTAGAGCTGACGGATTTTCAACCAAGGTGCCAAGGCAACTCGACGGCGAAAGCGTAGTGTTTTCAACAAATTGTGCTGGGATGACGGAACATCCCCATGAAGAAAAGATGAATTTAGAACTTTATCTTTTCCATAAAAATAACTCAAACTGGATCACAGGCCTAAATGTAAGAGCTAGAACTATAAGACGCCAGAGGGATATGAGACAATCTTTGTGAAACTTGGGTTAGGCAAAGAATTCTTAAATACGGTACCACAACTATGATCCATAAAAGAAAAAATGGACAAATTGGACCTCACCAAAATTAAAGACTTTTGCTGTTCCAAAGATAGCATTAAGCAAATGAAAAGACAAGCCTTAGGTGGAGAGAAAACATTTGCAAAGATGTGTCTGATAAAGGGCTTGTATGCAGACTCGGTAAAGAACTCCACGGCTCAAAAATAAGACGACGACTTTTCAAAAATTTCTTCTTCTTCTTTCTCTCTCCCCCCTTTTTTTTTCTGAGACAGGGTCTCCCTCCGTCGCCCAGGCTGGAGTGTAGTGGTGCAGTCATGGGGCTCACTGTAGCCTCAACCTGCTGGGCTCAAGGGACCCTCCCAATTTAGGCCTTCCAAGTAGCTGGGACCACAGGCATACACTACTATGGCCAGCTAATTAAACACAATTTTGGGCCGGGCGCAGTGGCTCTTGCCTGTAATCCCAGCACTTTGGGAGGCCAAGGCGGGCGGATCACGAGGTCAGGAAATCAAGACCGTCCTGGCTAACATGGTGAAACCTTATCTCTATGAAAAATACAAAAAATTAGCTGGGCGAGGTGGCGGGCGCCTGTAGTCCCAGCTACTCAGGAGGCTGAAGCAGGAGAATGGCATAAACCCACGAGGCGGAGCTTGCAGTGAGCCGAGATCGCACCACTGCACTCCAGCCTGGGCGACAGAGCGAGACTCTGTCTCAAAAAAA